ATTTATGGATATCATTTTACAGATACAATACTGAGGTCAAAAAATGACTTGACCAGAGCCATTCAGTGATAACATGAAGTTACAGACTATGTCTTTCCCTCATCATCCATGCTTCGTTTGCTAAACTCTTAAGGGTCTGTGACATGCTGAACGATCTGATATGTTGTCCCTATGCTGCCTTACTCTAATGGATGGAAGTTGTCACAAGGGGGATGATAATAACATTATTATTAACAAATAATAAGATGGCTCTTTTATTTTAGTTTTATTTAAAAGCATTGGAACTCCATCTTACTTTGTAGCATAGAAAACTAACATGTGGCAATATAAGGCAGATCTTCACTGCTCTCTTTGAGTGGCTAAAATGCTGCCATATTTCCTACTGGATCTTTTTAGATCTCTAAAGTAGGCAACAGCTTAAAACTACAATTCAGTCTAATGAAAGATAAAGTTCCTTTCTCTAAGACTTGATTCAGTGCTTTGCACTGAAAGGTTTGGAACCAAAACTGAGCTATTCAGAAATAAGGAGAGGTATTGTCATACCTTGGGGAAATTCCAAAACACATCCTTTCAAAGAAAATACCTCCAAATAGCTTATTGAGGATTGGTTGGCCTCCATGTGACATGGTATTTGAATTGTCAATTGGGGGGAAAATATGGAAAAAAAACAGGATGAGAAAATGTGACAGAAGATTGAGCAGCTTAATATTCTTACAGTTTATAGCTGGAATGAGAAACTTTGGACAGTATGCGGGGCATTTTCTACACAGGCACTAACCCATCCCACAAAATCAGAAGTAACTAGGAGGCAATTACTCTTTTGTTTTTAAAATTCAGCTTACATCCCCCCCCCAGATCCAATGTGTTGAAGAGGTTTGGGCGTTGGACTATGGCACTGCAGAGTAGGGTTTGAATCACCATTCAGCCATAGAAAACCACTGGGTGACCTTTGGCAAGTCACACTCTGTCAGCCTCAGAGGAAGGCCGAGGCAAACCCCCTCTGAACAAATCTTGCCAAGAAAACCCTTATGTCAGAAACAACTTAAAGGCACATAACAACAGAGGATATTGCTAAAACAGGATGTTGAGGGAGGTTGCTCCTTCGTCTAGAAGAGAATTGTGCCCCCTTGAGACTGAAAGTCTCAGTCTCAAGAGTCATTTTCCCCCCCCAGTTTATTGGGGAAATGTGAGAGGTATGCTTTTGGATTTCAGAAATGACTTTAGGAGCTATATACATCCTGTGGGCCCTGTGATCCTCATCCCTGGCTTATAGTCTCATTGAGGGACATGACTGACTGGAACAAGTACTCCTATTAGGATGTGGTGATTTACTGCAACATATTTTTTGCAGTTTATATTTTCTTCACCTGTTTCTTGGCAACTTGATCCCAGCACAGGTAGTCTAAATAAAACAAAAGTGCTTAGGTTAAACAAAGTAAAACAAATTAATTCACTGAAACTCCCATTCTTTTTGCTTGGAGGAAACCCAGCAGCATTTAGGATATTGAGTACTTCTCTTTTTTTTTTTTTAAACACATCTATAGGGATCTTCATCTGAGTTTGAAATTGTGGGAGCTGAAGATAAGAGGTCTTCCCAGGACAGCAGCAGGAAATCTGTAAGTGCGTTTTTGGTTTTTTTTTAATCTTTTATGTTAACATACAAAAGGAAAAAGGAAATGCTATGTGCCCAGTTATATGTGATGTTTTGTATGATTCTGCTGTCTTTTTTATTATCTCCTTATGTGATTTTACAGATAAGAACAAGGACAGGTAGGCAGGGAACCATCCAGAGGAAGAAAGCTGAACAAACCAGCGAGTTTAATTGGTATTGCATAAACAAAAGATAGGCCTCTGTCCTGGAGGTTTTGCAGCCTAATATTCAATAGTGATAGAGGCAATCAATCGATCACTTCTATTTTTATCCTGCTTTTCCCCCCAAGAATGGGACTCAAGCTAGTGTACAGAATAAAGGAACAAATGTGCTCCTCCAGATTGACACTTTCCACTGTAGGGTTTTTTTAAAAAAAAAATATTGGGAAAACATTTCCATGAGTTTGAATGGCTTTCTTAATCTTAGTCCATGAATGGGCTGCAGGGAAGTTCATGAATCGGGCACAAAAAAATTGATCCATTCCCCCACTTCCATTTGCCTTCTGTTACAATGAAAATTGTCTTTGTGGGTGGATGTTTGGATGGATGGGAAATCTTTTGTTATGTCAACTTTCATTGTCAAGGCTCATCTAATTTGGCCCGGGATGCTCCTTTACACAGTCAGGTAACATACAGAGCTGCCTTGGGTCCCTTTCTGGGAGGAAGGCAGCATATAAAAGAAACAAAGAAGTAAATAAATAAATAAACACAATCGCCATTTTTTCCATGTTCTGTCCAGAAGGCCCATAGCCTGTGTCACATTCTCAAATGGGCCTGTGCAGTTCTCCGAGGTTAAGAGCTGCCGTTTGAATTGGAACAGACTCTAGGTTTTTAGCTGGGCAACTAGCTGAGTACACTGTGTCAGTGGTGAGTTTTCACCCTTCCACCCAGAGATGCTATAACCACACACATGATGCACGTGCTGTAAGATTTTTTTTTTCTTACCCTTTTTCCTAGTACAGACTAATGGGAACTAGCTAACAGAAGATGTGAGAAGAGTAAATGGAAAGTGTGAGAATCAGGAGAGCTCCTTCTCCCCCTTTTAAACTTTCTTCATGTTCTTTTATGTAAAACTGCATGCTGGTTAACCACTTCCTTGTCCCAAGCCAGCTGTGCCTGCTTACAAACCTGGGTAGTGCCAGCAGGATAGCAGAGAATACTCATTGTATGTGTCAGCTAGGATTCAGTGACACTCTTCAGGATAAAGGCAGGGAAAACCCTTCATGAAGAAATTTTCCAGAACTTTTAAAGTGGGATGTTGCTCTGTGCCTGAAATATTGTGTGTTTGTAGCAGCTGCCTTGAGTACTGTTGTTTCCTCTTTGCAGTTTTCAGTTTTTTCATACCTTGAAAGAGTATGAGAACTGCTGCTGTTCTCTTCACTTCTTGAACCTATTGAATCTTAGTCTTCCACAACCAGATGCACTCCAGGTCTTTTGGTCTACGGCTCCCATCGTCCATTACCACCCTAGCATATCTGAAGAGTACCAGACTGAGCAAAACCCATCTACCTTAAGTGATATCTAAAAGTATCCTGTTTGTTCCCACCAGTGGGAATGTGCTACCCTCCCTGAGTAGCTTCCATCTTATAAACACTCCCAGCAGAAAGGAAGGAGGCAGTTTTCACATTATATTCTGCTTTCCCTGGCAGCCTGAAAATCCTTTGGAACTGAGGAGGGGCTGCATGAAAGCAGGAAATCAGCCAAAACGCTGCAAAAGCAAAACTGAGGCCAATAAAGCCTGCCATCACACTTTCTGTAATTGCATTTACATTAATAATAATAATATATAATAATTTAATCTCTAATGTACGTAGTTTAAAAACTGATTCTTCAGTGACAGTATTATCTCTGTGAGTAGACTCATTTGTGTATCAAGAAGAATGAATGGTCATTTTAGAAATTGTATAAATTGTTACTGTGCACTCAAAATGTTTAACTGGATGGTGATGTAACCATTTGAATAGACAAAGGGTTTAACATTCAAATAGACAAAGGGTGTAACATTCCTCCCCTCCTTTATTTTTTTATTCCTGGAGGAAATAGCTTGGATTATTTTTAAAAGAGCAAGACTTCCTGTGGTATTGGACATTGTTTTGGCAAACAGACACATTGTATTTGTTGAAACAAAATAACAGATAAGACTGGCACTTTGACAGAGGCATAGTTAGTTGTTGCTGGAGTATAGTTTTTGACCATATGAAAAGTTTTGGAAAGCATGATTTTAAAGATACCAATTTTAAAGAAATGAATGGAGGAATGTTCAGTAAGTGCAGAGGAACAAGCAGTTTGGAGTTATTACCCAGAGATCAACAAAAAGGGAAACATTTTCAGGAAATGGAGATGAATATTGCTGGAGTGCTTAAGAAAATGAAGATGTGGAGTAAGTGGAAGATCAGCCTGAAAACACTTTCTCTGAAATGGATGGTAAAGGGGTGAAGCTGTTCATCTACAGATGAGAGAAGAGAGGAAGAATCATAATAGAGTTTGGAGAAGGACTTCAGCAAATCTGTGGAGATGGAAGGTCAACACTGGATGGAAGAACAAGGTGCTGGTAAAACCTATTTAAAGCATTGACTTCTGCAGTGGAGAAGGTTGAGTTTGGAGGTTAGACAAATTGCCAAAGGGCAGAAGATTGATGACTGAAAGCAGGCCACCCAGGAAGAAGACATGGAAAGAGATACAGTGCCTAAGATTAATGACACTGTGTGTGTGTGTGTGTCAGAGTTTTTTGGTTTGGGGAATTATACTCAACTTGTGCAATGGCTGAAATTCTCCAAAAGAAAAAGTAGAAGTTTTAAGGGATAAAGTAAAGGATGGGTCTTACTTGGTTTTGAAATTATGTGCATGGTCTTTTATCATCTGATACTAGATGTTTAATCTGTCAAAAAGAAATTAGTACACAAGGATGTTTCTCAAGAATATTAAATGTTAAAAGAGGGTTTTAAAATGTGGTAATTTAGAGAGATAGGAAAGGAGTTCAAGGATTTTAAGATATAAAGTTGGGTGGCACCTATGTTGCAGTTGTGAAAAATAATAGGTCTTATTTGTAGAGCAATATATTTGGAAGAGGTTAGAAGTCAGAATGCTTATTAGAGTTAAAATAATTCTTTTGATTAAGTGTGATAAACATAAAAATTATTAACCCATTATTTGCTTTTTGTAAAATTAAGAATATGTTTTAACATGTTTGTATGTGTGTTGTGTGCCTTCAAGTCGTTTTCAACTTATGGTGACCCTAAGGTGACCCTGTTACGGGATTTTCTTGGCAACATTTGTTCAGAGGAGGTTTGTCATTGCCTTCCCCTGAGGCTGAGAGCATGTGACTTGTCCAGGTTCATCAGGGGGTTTCATGGCTGAGCAGGAATTGAACCCTGGTCTCCAGAGTCATAGTCCAATGCTCAAAACACTATGCCACATTGGCTCTCTTTAACATGTTTACATTGTGTTTATTATTAGGTAGACGTTATCAAGAGGATAGTTGTGATAGATCTTGAGCGGTATAAATGGATTATACATTTGTAACTGATGCAAACAAGTTGGGAAGTCACTTTTGTTTGCTCTTTTGACTATTTATCTTTCTTTGTTTACTCTTTTTCTAATTTGTTATTGGATATCATGAAGCCACATATCAACCTGCTTCACATCCTGCTTTTTAAAAAAGGCTCTGCTGGTCTTAAAATGACCCATAGTTGCCAAACATTTGGCAAAATTGTCTCCCATCTCCCTTAGGAAGCATAAGAGAACTTTAAAAAAATTGTTTGGAAAAAAATGTTTGGAGTGTGGAGCCCTGGGTTTTCGAAATGACACATGGGCCACATTTGGCTGTTATTCTGTAGGGTTCCCCAACAAGGCTGTCGGGAACAGAGAATCCAAAAAGTTTGCTTCCTTACAATGGCAGAATAGGAAGTTCCTATAGTTCTGAAAAGAGTTTGCATGGGCAAACTGCTGGTTTTTGCTGCAGGTTCAAGCCATTTGGGGTTGTGAGGGGGCAAAAAAGTCACCTGTTTTTAAAATAAATATGGGGAAAGTTCTGGGGCTTTGGGAGACTTTAAGGGTCACACGGCTGTGCCTTCCCTACCTATGTTTTCTAGCAAGGATCACTCCTCTTTATCCTATCCTAGCTAACATTTTTGTCCCTAGAGCCAAATCCCACCTACTTGGCATTGCCACTCTCTTCCCCACAGGGAAAGGGGGAATCCTAGCTCAGTTATTCTAATGCAGTAGCAGAACATGTCTCTGCATGCATGGCTGTTGAGCCAACATGGGTGAGGCTAGAGAAACAGAAGACTAAAGAAAACAGCCATTTGTTACACAAAAATAAAACATACCTACTTTTTGAGATTTGTGGAAGGTGTGGAACAGGCAGAGTGTCTGAGGAAGCAGGTGGGGCACATAGCGATGTGTATGTCAGGCTCACAATGGAGGGTGTTGCAGGCTGTCCTTTGCTTGTAGAAACAGCTTGCTGGGGTTGAAGCAGGTGAAGGGGGCTTCCACCTTTCCCTCAGCAGATATATCTGCATTATGCCCATGAAGATGACTCCTGTGTTGATGCCTCTTTTGCTCAGGTGACTGTGGGTCCTGCTCATGCCAAAGGCAGCAATACTTCAGTGTGGCAATAATGAATACATTTTGGTACACCATTGAGCATTATTAATTGTTCTGGTAACCCTTAAAAGATCCATCTGAGGCTTCACAGTGTTGTACTTTGTGTGTACGTGTGTCCACATGTGCGGTTTTAACTGATTAATAACCTTTTTTGCATTTTAATGATTGTCTTTAAAAAAAAACACTTTCAAATGTTTCGGATATGTCAACCTTCGTATAAGTGTGTTTGTATGTGTGTCTAAATGATGGAGAGGGTGTGTTATTTTTAAACAGTTATTTTCTTTTGAATTTTCTTCAAATATTCTGAATATTTGACTATACTGTGATTAAAAAAGAATCCCAAATTATGAGGGCAGGAGGCTCAGCCAGAAGTCAACCTGCATCATTTGAAGTATTCCACCACTCACAATATGGACAAGGACATATGGTCTCTATGTAATATAGTTCCAACTATTTCTAGAAAGAAGAGGGGTGTGTGTGTGTGTGTGTGTGTGGGAATCCCAGAATTTCCATTTGCAAAGTACAGTGCCGTACAGCATTTTCTTCTTAATAGCTTCATTTCCGATTTGGAATGTCCAGGACACACTTTTATCACACAGAATGCAAGCAGAGGATTGTGGGAGTTGACGTCCAGCACATCTAGAGGGTGCCTGGTTGAGAAGATGGCTGTAAGAGAACAAGTTAGAACTTGTGTGCCACACTGTTTTGTTGTTGTTTGCCTTCAAGTCATTGCCACCTTATGGTGACCCTAAAGCGAACCTATAATGGGGTTTCTTGACAAGTTTCTTCAGAGGGGTTTTGCCATTTATTTATTTCATTTTTATGCTGCCTTTCTCCCCAAAAGGGACCCAAGGCAGCTGACAAGATAAATTGCCATTATGTGAAACTGAGAGTGTGTGACTGGCCTGGGTCACCCAGTGGGTTTCCATGGCTGTGCCGGGATTTGATCCCTGATTGCCAGAGTTATAGTCCAACACTCAAACCACTATACCATGTGGCTGCTATCCTCCCCCCAAATGATTTTCAATGGGACTAAAAACAGATGAGGTAATAAAGGCCCTAGAAGTGAATACAATTGTACACATCATGATTTTTCTTTTGTATATTTCCTTTATGAATCAGCGACAAGAGAAATGGATAAAGTCTCTTGCCAGATTGGCATTTTTATGTTATTTATTTATTTATTTATTTATTTGTCTCTCAAGACATAGTTCATTGGGGCAGATGACGGCTGGGAAGAGGTAACGAGGCAACAAGTAAGCTTTGGCTGAAATCTGGCATTTCCTTTCCTGTCACCTTCAGAGATTCCTTTTTTAGGGGCTGCATGCATGGCGACATGAAGCCTGATCTTGCCAGATTGATGGTTAGGCAAGGCAGGTAGCTCTTACCCGCTTGGAATATTTACCTCAGGATGGTGGCTTATGTCTCCCAGACAACTAAGCAATTAACAAGCCATTACAGTCCAGCTCAGGGTGGCTCAACCATGAAGGTTTGGCAATGCACACGTAAGTAGGAGGGTGTGACTCCGGATGGCTCAGTGTGTCAAGCGCAAGGTGTGCCAACAACTAGGGATCCTTGACAGGTATAAAGGCAATATATTGTAGCTACAAAGCTCCTGGCAAGAAGTCACCTATCTACTCCAGCATTTTGAGATGAAAGGGACCCCTGCAGCTCTAGAGGTAAATGTTGGAACTGGGGGATGAGAATTCTGTAATAGAGGGTGGAAAGGGGATATCAGGGAAAGGAAAATGGGGATTGGTTTGTTCCCAGGCTGTGGAAATAATTTCCATCAGTGGAAATGTGTGTGTGTGTGTGAGAGAGAGAGAGAGAGAGAGAGGGCGTGGATCATGGGGATATTATCTTCACATGCTAGAAAGTGGAAGGTGCCAGTCAAGCTTTATTTGTTCATTTTGTATTACGTTTTTGCAGACCTTGGTGCTACCCGTTGAGGTGGCTCAAGAGGGCAATTGTTGTTGCTTTCCAGGATAATGCATCTGGGCTTAACTTCTAAAAGAAGGCATTCACGTTTCAAACTAGCCCAGGTGCAGCTGCACAGTGAAAAATTTTGGACAAAACTTAGTGAAAAATGGATGGGGCCCAGGTGCAGCTGCACAGTGGCAAAGGAAAGGCACTCTGCACACACGCAATCAGAGGCAGATTGGTTTGTTTACTCTTAATAGTTTGTATTTGGCACTGATACTGAAAATATATTCTGGGACTGAATCATTATAGTTGGGGGCCCAGTCATGGATGATACCCATCTTATTTGCAAAATCCTGAATAGTAGCAAAGAATTGTCTAGCCTAGATGAATCCTGAATTGCTTACTCTATTCTGACCATTGTATGCTGAAGTATCACCCCAAAATTTTAAATTTTATTTTTAAAAAATCAGCTATCCAAAATTGACTAGCCTAAACTTGTTAATTAGGGATTTAAAAACCAAGTTTACTGTAGTTTTTCATGTGGTGTCAAGAGGATTGGGTGTGGAAATAATTCTGCCAGTCCTTCTTACCAATTTTATTTAAGATAATTCACTGGGTGACCTTGGGCAAGTCACACTCTCTCAGCCACAGAGGAGGGCAATGGCAAATCTCTAAAGAAACCTGCCAAGAAACCCCTGTGATAGGTTTGCCTTAGGGTCACCATAAATTGGAAACAACTTCAAGGCACACAACAAACAAACAAATGTAACTAGCATTTATATGGACTCAGGATTAAAACAGGAGTCTTACCTCGTGGCGATATGCAAACTGTCTTCCTTTGTGGTGGCTCCTACTTTATGGAACCTCCCCCTTCCCCATAATCTGCTAACAGTAAAGTGCTTCTGGAGATTGATTTAAAATATTTAAAAAGAAACGATTTACCATTAGTACTTGTTACTGTATTATGTTTTGACAGATGGACAGGCACACATACAAATTTGTGTTCATGTGTGTGTATTTATTCTAATTGTTGAACTTCTTGTTTGATAGTAGAGTATACTTTAGTGTTATGAACCACTTCGTTTTCTTAATAGTGAAGAGGTATAAAAGTGATTTTAAATAAAGAGAATAAGCAGGGAAATGTGAAACAGGCATGGGTGTTTTAATTGGTTCTTTTGAAAATGCATAACACTGGGCAAAGGAGGGGATCAAATAAGCATAGGACCTATATAGTATTCTTCTACCTGGCATCATCCATAAATGTTTGACTGCAACTCTCATCATCCCTAGCCATTGGGTATACTGGCTGGAGGATGATGGATCTTGTATTTCAACACACCAACATAGTGCTGGGTTGGGAAAGACCAGGAAAAACTCAGAATCATTCAGCATATACATCTTCTGGGAAACGTAAAATAAATTCTGACCTTGGTTTTGAAGCACTGTTTTAAGCTCCATTTAAGGTATGTTTCAATAGCTTTCTAAGCAAAATTGGATATTTGAGCTGTTTAAAAGAGAACAGTTTATACTGTGTGCAGTTCTAGTCATCCCATCTCAAAATCACAGCACCATATACATGGAAGAACTATAGAAAAGTGCAAGCAAATAAGTAGAGGGATTGAATTATGCTTCCTGTGAGGGGAGGGCAAAATATTTGGAGCTTCATATTTCAAAGACCACTAAGGCAGATGGGAGAGGGGACATATCAGTATAAAATTATGTCTAGTGTGGAGGACATTGGTTGCTCTAAAAAGGAGTGTGGGGAATAAATGAATGGGAGATATAAAGATGACCATCCTCTTCTATTCCTCTCTCCCTGCCTTTCTGGTTTATCTTCAGAATATCTTAGAAAGAGATTCCCCCCCCCCCAAAAAAAAAGAAGAAGAAGAGAAG